AACACGAAAGTTTGTGAGTATGGATGGATGTTAGTTACTCTTTTACGGATAAACTACTGAACTGGTTTTATTTTATTTTTTTACGCAATCAACAAGACATTATATAGATACAATTATTGTCACTTGTAAGAAGTTCAGGTATGTGACTTAATTATTGGTAGCTACGACACGTGTAAATGTTTACAGAAGTTTTACATATATATACCTACTGTTTATATAATTATATTACCTACATAATGTAAACAGGAATATAATTATAATATTATTCATGAGCCCCCGATATTTTACCTCTGTCACAAACGTCCTGGTTACGAGTGGATTAAATTAAAATAATTATAAATAACGTTACCACAGTAAATGAAATTATGTGGTTTATGCAATGTGTACAACAAGTTAATTATTTATTCAACTACTAGTTAATTATTTATAGAATTTACACAATTTTTAATTAAGATATTTGAAAAACCGCTCCTTAAACGCCCGTGATAAGTCTTAACAGATATACATATAAAGTAAATAAAATTCTCAAAGGATTTCCCTAGTCATTCGGCGTGGAAATTCTGCAAGCGTTATGGAAACTTTTGGGCTGGGTACTAGGGTAATTTTACTTGATGATCGTCTTGTCAGTTATATATTCTATTACTGTTATAATTGTACAAACTGCGAAAATAACTCTATCTGTCTGTATGTCTCGCTTTCGCGCCAAAACTACTGAACCGATTTAAATGAATTTTGGTACATAGATAGTCTCCACACCCTGAGAAAGGACACAGGTTACTGTTTAATGCGAAGAAATGGCTATAATGTGTTGAAAAAGGAGATGAAAGTTTGTTGCTAGAACTGTGACAGCTAGAAACTTATTTTTTAGGCTTTTGATGAAATATAAATAAATATGACATTCAAAATGCAAAAAAAATACCCTTATGGGGGGTAAAATAAAATAGGGGGTGGAAATTTGTATGGAAATTCGTAAAGTTTTAAGCTATAACGATAAAACTTTTCTTTGTAATTTTATAATTACCCTAAATAATTAAAAATGCTAACCAAGGTTATATTCTTCAACGCGTACGAAATCGCGGACACAGCTAGTATCAAATAAATTTCTTTAGTGTAAATATAGTTATACTTACAATGTATGTATGTATGCAATATCTTACTAAGTTGTTACTGAACTGAACAAGATATCGTAAACTATACATTCAATGATATTAAAAGTACATCAACAGCTCCATAAATTTATTCTATGTATGATCCCATACATTTAACAATGTAACAACCGGGGGACTCAGCATTGTATCGTATTTTACGGCTACTTTATACGTGTACACTAAACAAAATAAATAGGTAAAAAATATCATCACTGTTTTATGCCAGGTCCCGCCTTTGTTATTTGACAATATCTATTGATAAGCCAGTAGGTGCTGTCAAATGTGAAATAGATGATAATAGTTGTGATGATGAATGATGATAATTTTTCCCTGGATGTATTTGAACCCAACGTGGTAGGAAACCAGTCTAGTACTGGAATAGATTCAGTTTGGTTTATTATCATTGTATCCGTCACCAGAGTCAATTTGAATTATTTTAGTTAAACATCAACGTGAATTGAGTTATACATCACCAGGATTTCATCACTGGTTTTAAGAAAGAACTGCAAGGTTCAGACTAATAATGAGACTACTAATCTCCATTATCAAGAATAGTTTACCGAAACGTTAAAAGTGACACAAAGTTTATTTAGTATTTGTCTATCAGATTTGAATTCTCGACTTTTAAAATCACTAGGCGAAGATGCTCTGATATATACAGTCCTTCGATAAAACGTATACTCGCGACGTCACAAAATGTAGTACTCTGCGACTCTGCCTTCTTTGTCACATAATGTCACACTTTGTTGACCCATCTCCACTTACAGCGTAACAATTTATAGCGTACATCTTAACGATTCATTACAATTCACTATTCGTCTGCGGTGATTTAGCTTTATTAGGGTTCAGTCCTGAACATTATTAATAATGATATAACGACTACATACGGAACCGTCATAACAATACACGTTTATGATTTATGTGTCCACACTTCCTTACATTTTCCTTGCAATTCATAATTCTATATTATTATATGTGTATTGTTTTGTGTTATCAGAACTGTATATATCTAAAAACCTATTAATTAGACATATTGAATATATATGTATAAACAACTTACAAATAATACACGAGGAAAATGCAGTTTGAATTAGGTGTTATTTTGCGAAAGTCAATTTAAAAACTTAATGGATTTACACTATTTTGTATTATTCCGCTAACTGCGAAAACATAACGAATTACGAAAAAACACTGGCATGTTGGACTTCAGCACAAGAAAATTACGACTTACCACATAGCAATTGACTAATAGGAGAGAATGCACAGACAGAGACATGATTAGGCTCACCTGATGGAAACTAGTAATTGTTTAGTAATAAAAATTATAAATAAAATTAATGTTTAATAAAACTATAAATTCGTCTATTAATTTATTGAAGAATATCAAAAAGTGACTACCAAAACAAACAACCGCACCTTGATTAAAATCTGCGATATTCTAAATAAGGATAAGTAACCGAAAAATATCTTTAAAATACGGCACTTAATCGACAGCGATCTATAAAACGCTCGAAAACCAATTACAACCCTTTCCCTTCCCACGAAGCAGCTCAAAGTGGTAAGCAAATATTTTGCACTACTCTATGCAAAGGTGCTCATCCATTTAACGTCAAAAGAAACGGGTTATTGGATCTGAAGAAGTTTCTTTGAAATGAAATTACTTGTTTGCATTCACTAACGTTTTCTTAAGATTAATTTGGATATACCTAAGAGGATGTAATATAATTTTACTAATGGTATTACTGTTTTTTTTTAAATAGATAGAATGGTACACAAACTTAGTTCACCAAACAGTGATAACTGAAGCCCATATACATAAATAGCAATACGGACATCACGTTATGATGTCACACTCGTGATACCACTCATGCGTTACTATTCTGCTAAACTAAGACGTCTCGTCTCTTGTTATTTTATTTCACTGCTTTATTCTGCTGCTCTTCAACGGACACAGCTTACAAAACGAGTTTCTTGGTGGCTGAAATAGCTGAGACTGGTACACACGCGAACTACATTTTACATAGTCGGCTTCGGTAAATAGGGTAGTTAGTTTGTTAGCTATTGACATTGCTGGATATCCTGTATTGTCAATGTTCTTAGACGGGGGCGAGTGTTCCGCATTTGTGGGATTAATCTTGGTATTTATTACAGGGAGAGTTATAATAGTAAAATAATATAAATTGTCATTCAAGTTTTTTTATGTCGCTAAAGTTCGAACGCACAACCCTTGGGGTTTTAGTCGATATAGCAAACCATTAGGCTACAACACTCTTAGTTTAGAGTATGTTTCGGTATTGGCACTGCGTATATATTCGAGTTTATTTGGTACGTTATTTTTGTGAGTGTGTTCCACAAAGGAAGAAATAATAAAGCTTGATTATGAAGGAATTCTTCTATTTGCCAGACCAATACGTAGCACTATAAAGGCGCAATAAGAGGTGGATTTTCCCAATAATTGTAAGTCGGTACACTACGCGCACAAAATAGACAATAGCTTATTGAGTTCTTTCTACGGATTTTCTCTATTATATACTCAGACTTAACTGATTATAGATATGAGCTACTACAGGCGGTATAGTTGTGTTGTTTAGTATTATTATAAATAAACTCATTTATATAAATACCATGTATATGCATGTTTCACTTTTCAAATATTTATTTCATAAATAATTGATTTCAGAATATCATACTGTTGACAGGACCCGAGGTAAGACAAACTTGAATTATTCAAAAGCGATTTGTTATTCATGGGATCATAAATAATAGGAGGGTTGCGATGAGTCTGGAATGCAAAATTTTTTTTTTTTTAAACTTACCACAAAGATGGCCAAGGAACATATGGTCCGCCCGATGCTAAGCGGTCACCGCAGTCAGTATCCGCCTGTAATAATAAAGGTATCATCAGTCAAACATCGCCTACTTCATAACATGTACATAACATTTCTCGAAGGGAGGGCATAGCTTGATGTATTTTGGATACGACTTGGGGCGGCCCGAACCTGGCGTAGTACCTCCACCAAGCAGAAAACCACAGCCAAATAGTGTTGTACTTGCGACAGCACTGTGTTCCTGTGGTGTGTAAGGTGACCAGAGCCCCGTGGGGACTGGTTGTGCTGGTATTGAGGACCTGTGTGTTCAACAGTGCCGCGGGATTGCATAGGCAGCAAGGTTATGCGCATGGATTTCTGTAACATCAATGTCACTTTAACAAGCATTTTAAGCTTAGAAATTTATATTGTACTACATAACATAACTACTACTAACATACATTATTTCATCTTGAATCATATTTAAAGTATCCATATTTAATTAAGAGTTATTATTAAAAATAAACCTTACTTCTAATATTATTACCAATTTAAATTTGATCCTCAGTAGATTTTGTAAAAAGCTCTATCTACGTGGGAACCTCAATCTTACCTATTTCAGCCGTCAAGTAGCTTGCTTTGTAAGCAATTTTTTATTTGAAGAGTAAAATAAGACGTACGTACCTAACGAGTAAAATAAAGCATTATTTATATATTTTATTTATCAGAATGGCAATGCATGACTGACATGTAACCGTGTTGATGCTGAGAGAAACTGTTTTACTGATATCAAAACACACATATACATATATGTCACATAAGTCCATTTCTAAATATTTTCACTGCAAAATGTAATATTAATCAAGGCTCGAAAATTCGCTTCGTTCTCGGTTCTCTGTGCCTTCTCGTACATGAATCAGCCTTTTTGAAAATATTTATTTTAATCACATTGAAAACCAAAATGAGTTTATGACATTATGATTCCAGTTTCATTTACAAGGGTTGCGGTGAGTCTGGAATGCATAATTGTTTTTTTTAAACTTACCACAAAGATGGCCAAGGAACATATGGTCCGCCCGATGCTAAGCGGTCACCGCAATCAGTAGCCGCCTGTAACAATAAAGGTATCATCAGTCAAACGTCGCCGACTTTCATAACATACATGATAGGTGAGAGGTACGACTTATACGATTTTATATTGTATTATGATACTTTGCAAGTAATAAGTAATAATAATTTATTGAAATCATAGGTTACATAGTTAATTTGTACATAACAGTGAAAATAAATTTAAACATATAGGTATCATTATGCCATCTGAACTAGTATAGAATTATTCTTTATCTCAGGTTCACATACCTTCCCATAATGAATTATTTTCTATTTATTAACGTATTTGTGTTACATAAACAAAAAAAGGAAATAAAAACTTAAAGACAGAGGTAGAAGGCTTCTAGAAAGTTCTTACGTAAAAAAGAATACGTAAAAATTGGAAAACTTAACAAAGCTTACATGAAGTTATAAGCCTCAGGGCGAAGTCGGGTTATCTACTAGTCAAAATGAGCTAAGTGGAAAGTTGACACTAAACTTGTTAACAATATTTTCAAATACAATGTCATGAAACTTAGAATATACTTAACGAAAATAGGTACTAAGAAAGATAAACCAGTCCTGAGAGATTGAGTGACTTATGGGGAGGAATGACGTCTCATCTCGACCCATCAAGGAAAATTGAACTAAAAGCCCCCCCGCACGGCGCGGCGTACCGCTATATTTCGTTAACGACTTTTGCAATAATCTGAAAATTGTATTAGTACATTCAGATGTCGCTTTCATGTTCTATTGGATATTGCATAGATGGATGTACCTTATGCTAAACTTGTAAATTACTTTTTTTTGTAGAACTTCTATGTATTGACACTTATTGGTAGACGGTTTTTTGTAGAGAATGCGTTTAGTTAAGTAAATTTACCCTTAGTTTTGCCAGAGCTTGAGACTTGTACAAAGTCATTTGGTGGATACATGAGGAGCTGTGTGATGCGTGAATCGTGTATATAGGCTACAGTTACCATTACGTTGGTCGTCAGTTTGTTTAAGAGAATTTTCACTTTGTTAAAGAGAATAATCACATCTCAGAACAGTATACAGCGCGATCTACTCCCAAGCTAAGTAGAGCTTGTATATATGGATATTTTTTTTATAAATGTGTACATAGAAAACACCCAGACCGATACAATCAATCATTACGAACATAAATGATTATGACGTATGAGGAATCGAACCCACGACCATTCCGGGACCAGTCCGCGTGAAGCTCGACCTGACAATGTCCACTGCCAGCAATGAGACCTATTTACTGGCAGTTACTATTTCCCATTACTAACAATCCCCTTCCTCGTAACCAACCATTAGATACTCGTTTTTAGTATTTATTTAAAGAAGTGAGCGAATCCATTTAGGAGGAAACGTATGCTTCAAAAACTTAGGGTTGAAGCGTGTCCGGCAATTGACGGAGGCAATTGCGTGATGGATAGCGTAGTTTAAGGTAGGGCGCCCCGAGGTACGATAAGCAATGTTGGCTAAATAAATAATGAAACTAAAGAGTACATACTTAAGGGATTTATGCACTACTTGCTAGTCCCCGCGGCTTTACCTTTTTTTATTATAAATAAGCAGACTAAGTTCATCCTCATGAGACAATCGATTTTCACGTAAAATTTTACTAAGATCTATTCAGCTATTTAGTCATAAATATGTAACAAACAGACTGACTGACAGACGCACTTTCGCATTTTGTAATATTAACTAGTTGACCTAGCAAACATTGTTTAGCCATATAAAGTAATATTGCTATAAAAATAGGAGTTGGTGGTAGAAAGGTGAAACTTTAGGAGTATATTTTTTTCGAGTTGGTCACCCTTGTTACTTAGGGGTATAAACAAATTACAACCTCGTAGACCACGGTTGCTCAACCAGTCTAGTGGATGACCAGTTACCATCAGGTAGACCATCAGCTAGCTTGCTATTCCAGTAACATAAAAAATTACATATTTAAAACTATCTTACTTATTGTTTTTCTTATGTATTTTTATTTTACGTTTTTTTTATTATTTTATGTAATGAACTCACTGCCCGTTCCCATAACACAGGGCTCCCCTATAATGAAGGTATTGTACATTCATATTTAGAAATATTGTGATTGGAATTCATAGATATTTCACTAACAATTTATATTCTTAGATTTACATTCTAAAATGTGTATTAACATTTATCTGTTACATTATTATCTATTATTTTTACATGTTTAGTCCACCACCAGGTTGAGAAATTACTGTATTGAATAGGATACCTTTTATCCTTATTTAGGAGCATAATCTCGCGATACTCCTAGTTATGTTACAAAAAAAGATTGAGGATGAGTAATATTATTATTAGTATTTCAGAGGAGTGTATTCATGGAATGAGTAACTTTATTCTAATTCAACAGAGAAACTGCCTCGAGCTCGCCGGAATTTCGTACTTAATAATTCTACTTATTAATTAGGTCTGTATTTCCTAATTAAATAATACATTCCGATGTTCTATAAACAACGTTATATTTATACTCTCAGATCACGTAGGCAACCATATGAATTTTATATAGGGAAAATAAATAATTCGAATATAAATTATGTATGACTTTCAAATAACAGGCAATATAAACTACAAAACAACATAAAATTAGAATATAACTAAGTAATGATTATGATTAGTATATTAACCTGTTAACCGGGGAATTCCTTTTTTAATTACGCAGCATATAACGGGCACTGTCTCTCACTAGGACGTGTCAGCACTCACGTACGTCAGCACAATATAAATTAATGTATATATTTTTGATATGTAATATTCCACCCGCTTCAGGTTCCAGGGCGCAGCAGAAATTAAAAAATGTAGGTATACATATGTCCTACACGTACACAAAAGTTTGACGTTTGACGTATTTATACGTCCCGCAGAACGTATAAATACGTCAAAGCGGGACGTATTAATTTTTTAAAATAATAAAGTTAATAATATCAAAACACCACTATTGTAATTTTATAAACCTGCTTCAAAATAGAGAAACTTATTAAAATGAAAACACATTTTTAAGACTATATATTTAGACGCGTCATCTTGGTTAAATGAGTTTAAAACTGTTATATAAACTTGCCTATAGGAACATTTTTAATGCCACATGATAAAAAAATAAAAATATTTCCAAATTTTTTTTTTAAGCCGTGCCTCCTTTATATCCTAGATGTACAATAAAAAAATAGATTACAACCTATTTCTGTTCCATCTAAAACACATAAAAAAACATAAAATTTGATCAAAATTGATTTAACCGTTTAGTAAAAGTATGGCACCTAATACGTGAATTTTATATATATAAATTTTACTTTTCTGTAAATTGTGAATGTATTTTTAATATCCGTGTATATATGTATTTACCACTTTTTATATGTGGTTTAATTCATCTTCCATTTACAATCCAAATATCTGTCGTTTTAGGAGTCGGCTAGATATTGTTTACACTTTTACTTTTTATTGATTTTGATAGCAACTAATGCGTTACATTCAAAACATTACTCTGTCGTAAATCATGTGAGAGACAGAGATCATGTCTGTCACAACTTGTTTCTCGGAGAGGATTGAGTGAAATATTACAAGCCTCTGACAATGTTTACTCAGTAACGATATTAATTACTACGTAACGTGCTAAAATCTCAACATAATGACTATGTTTACGTAACAAAGGAATAAACATGTTAAACATAAAAGATGATATAACAGTAATGTAGTCTGTACTAATAATAATAATAACTAATATAAATTTGTTTAAGAACTTTGGCCGTAATAGTTTACGGTAAGACTTACTAGATTGCGCTGTGTCAATTTAAAACGCGCAATAATTTCGTTTTTATCATAACATGTATTCTTGATAACACAAATATTATTGTCCCTCTCCGATCGATCCCCCGTCCAATTCAAACGGGGATCGATATTACGACGGCCTGAGCAGAGGTTCAAAACCTAAAAAAAGCCGTTCCATAAGTCCTTCCGGGGGTTTGGAGTGCCATCTGCACTCGCCCCCTATCGTTCGATGAAGCTGTAAAGGCCAGCTACTTGTGGGCCACAACTTTAGAGTAGTCCGAGATTAATTAACAATAAAATATATATTATTGTCAATTAACTTTGTCAAGTCTTCTACTTGTATATATTTCTAGAACCTCATATAGAGTACATTTTTTTTTAAAGAAAACATCAAAGGTATTGCACAGATTTAGATTTTTTTAAATTATTTGATCGTTGTAGACAACGACATTTTAGAGTAATGTACATAACATAAAATTACTTTGGTCTAGAGTCTCGGCTTATATATATATGTATATAATATATATACAGAACTCAGAAGTTATAATCACCTGGGCGAAGCCGTACCAAGCCATTAGTTTACATTTACATTACACCATATTGAAATTACAACTAACATGACAGCATAATTTCAATTGTTTTGTATCAAGATAACATTCAATTTTCTTCTCTATCTCATCGGTTTATAGTTGCATTTTCTCTAATCAATTTCGCTGCTGGAAAACAATGACAAGTTGACGACAAGTCATAAATGACGCTCATATAAACTAAACAACCCTATAAAAGAAATAACTGTTTTCAGATACAACCGCGCCCTATGTGTGATTTTGGATGTCATCTCGTAAAGAAAATCTATTTATCTGGTGGTACGATTTACGAGTAACCTCATTTCTGGAAAAATCTAGGGATTATGTCACAAACTAGCGGTGGTCGTTACTTCGTCCAGGCGTACTATACTGTATATTTGTAGGTAGCGTCTATTGAAAATAATTAAATGACAAAAACAATTGATGGGTTTATATGAGGCCGTCGGTAGTCCAGTAGTTTAGCACACCGCTTTATTTCCGATGGTCGCGGGTTCAAATCCTTGCACGGTACAAATATTTGTATTCATAAGTACGATTGTTTGTAACGGTCTGGATGTTTTCTATGTATTATGTATGTATTTACCAAAAAAGTGTTTATATCAGTTGTCTAGTACTTATAACATA